ATGGCGTTCAAGTCAAGAAAGCGAGATGCAAATACTGTGGAAATATTTATAAAGCTGATTCAGGTAATGGTACTAGTACTTTAAAAATGCATGCTAATAAACATATCAATCAACATGGAAATAGAGAAAGCAATCAAACTCAAATAACTAATATGGGTACTAATTGGCGTTATAATTCTGATGTATATAGGGAACAGTTAGCTTTATATATTGCTGCATCTGATCAACCTATTAATATGGCAGAAGATAAATATTTTGAAAGATTTGTTCAAAATTCATTTTTTCCAGGATTTAAAAGTTATTCTAAAACTGCAACTAGAAATGATTTAATAAAATTGTTTAAAAAAATGAAATTAGAATTAAAAAATAAATTTCATACTTGTCATATTAGTGTGGCTTTAACTGCTGATATTTGGAGTGGTAGAGCTAAACAAGATTATATTTGTGTGACTAGTCATTATTTTGATAATGAATTTAAATTAAATAAATCTTTATTAGGATTTAGATTAATGGATGTGGATCATAGTGGTTTAGAAATCTATAATAAAATTATTGAAGTTTTAGAAGATTATGATATTATTGATAAAGTGATAAGTTTAACTTTAGATAATGCAAGTTCTAATAGTAAAGCTATAGAATTTTTTCAAAATAATTATCTTTTATATAATAATTTGAAGTTTTTTCACCAACGTTGTGCATGTCATGTTATTAATTTAATTGTGAAAAGTGGTATGAAAACAATTAAAAAAAATATTGATAGAATTAGGGAATCTTTAGCTTGGATTACTAGTAGTAATAAAAGAAATGCTGAATTTCAAGAAGCTTGTATAAAATCAAATATGTCTCCTAGAACTTTTGCATTAGACATGCCTGTTAGATGGAATAGTACTTATTTAATGCTTGATTCATGTTTACCTTATGCTAATATAATTAGTTATTTTGTAGCAAATAATAGAGGTCCTCATTATTTGGTAGAAAATGATTGGCAAATAGCTAAAGTATTTCATTCTTTTCTTAAAACTTTTTACCAATCTACTTTACAACTTTCTGTTGTGTATTATCCTACTAGTCCATTGGTAATACATACAATTATAAAAAATTTCGAGTTATTTATAAAAAACAAAGACAATGTAATTTTAAATGCACCAATAAAGGCAATGGAAAAAAAAATTTTAAATATTGGAAACCCATTCCTTTTCTTTATTGTTTAGGTACTATATTTGATCATAGAATTAAATTAGCAGGTTTAGAAAATGGTTTTGACAATTTATTTGAAAATTTACAAACCGAAGTATATGCCAATCAAATAGGAGAGGTAAAAAATACACTTTTCAAGTATATTTCCAGTATGAAAACAGGTATGGGAACCCGCAAAGAGGCGAAACATCCAGGGAAGCTGCATCAGAAGAAACAAATGAAGACTTCTACTCTTGGGGTGCACTGAATAGGTCGAAGAGGACCCGAATCTGAAGCACAACCTCCTCTTCAGAAGTTCTACCAACAACAACAACTAATGTATTGTCTTTCATGCAGTCGCAGAGTAATAAGCTTTAACAATATTTGGCAACCCTTGAAATGTTACCAGTAGATCCACAACAGAGAACCAACATTGATCTCTTGGACTATTGGAGAGCCAAAAAATTATTTTTCCGGTATTATCAAGACTTGCCTTGGATGTTTTTGTTGTTCCTGTCTCAACTGTCTCATCCGAACAAACATTTAGTGCAAGTGGAAGAATTTTAAATGAAATGAGGACTAAACTTTCACCACCAATGATTGAAGTCCTCACATGTCTTCGAGATATCAAGGTCAATACAAGGTTGTCGGCGATACTTTAATAGAATCATTTCAATTTTGTAATATAGATGATACGGATGAGGGAGGTCCTAGTGAACCCCAAAATTAGTTGTTTTGTAAATTGTAACTTGTAAATTAATTGTCAATTATTGCACTCTTTTTTCCTTACCAAGTTTTTGTCCTATTGTGTTTTTTTTTTTTTTTTTTTTGTGAGGTTTTTAACGAGGCAATAATTATTGTAATTTCTTATTTTATTTTTTAATAAATGAATAAATTTAATTATTCTTATATTATATTTTTATGTATTAAAATTGAATTAATATTTGGAATGTTAACAAAAAAAATAATAATTTAATTTAATTATTGATATTTGAAAAGAAATTAACAATTAACTAAAAACAATTACATTTATTCATTTATAAATTGTTAATTATTCATTTGAAAAGTTAATTAAACACTTAAACTTAAACAAAATTAAAAAAAAAAATCAAAAGCGTGTTAACCCAGCCCAACCCGCGGCTTAACCCAACGAGTTAGGGTTGACGGTCCGGGTTGGGCTAGCCAATTCCCTAATATTGGCGGGCCTAACCTGGCCCGCCAATGTCACCGAGCGGGTCAGGACCGACCCACCATTAATAGCAACCCGCCGTGGGCTGGGTCAAGTCGGGCTGGGCGGGTTGCTTTTCCACCTCATAGTGCTGCTTGAGATGAAATGATATGATTAATATTAATTTATATCTTATATGTGATAACTTAATTAATTTACTATTGTTTTATTCTTTTTGTTATATTTTTTTATTCTTTTTGCTAATTTGTTATACATATTATTGGTTTCTTTAATTGCTACTTGGTAGAAGATGTGTTTATGTTTGTATAAGTTATGTGATTGAATTCTCTTATTATTAGTGACAATTAATTCTTGCATGCATGTTTTTCTTTGATAATATTACATGAGATTAATCACTAATTTTTTTAATAAGTGTTCAAATATTTAATTTAATTTATACTAAAATATTCTAAACATCTTGTGTGCCACATGGTGAAATGGAGTCTAAAAAATAGATATTTATTTTTATAATACTTTCTAATATTGTTTTGTTAATTTTACAAAATTCTCTAATAAATTGATGTCCCAACTTATTAGTTATTACTCAAGGGCCAGTTGCCCCCAAAAATAAATTTGATTAATTTATTATAAAACTAATACAAGAATATACATAATTGTGTGATGACCTACAAATTACACAAATAAAAATACCAAATTACACAAATTCAATTATCATTTTAATTAATTAATTGATCAATTAACTATGATGTTAAACTTGATTTGTCATGTTCACAAGCGGATTGATTTTATTACTTGTAGTGGTGATAATGACTTATGAATCAATTAATTAATAAGTAAATTATGTTAAGACTGAATATAATTTTATTAATTTTATGAAAATATAAAATGTTTATCTAAATTCTTTGTAGTATTTAATTAAAAATATAATATTTTATTAAATATTTTATTTTTATTCAATGGTTTACAAAATTACAAATTACAAAGGCTTGATATATGATGTATCTCTAATTATATTAATAATTTCATATTATTTAAAACTTCAAATTAACAAGTAACTAAATAAAATAATTGATCTATGCTTTGATTATGACAAAAGAGTGTTATCAATGTTGCATGTATTTTTAATTTTGGTAGATAGTAATTGACAAAATAAAGTTTTTGTAACCATTTGAAATTTTTTTTTCTCAAATTTAGTCAATTAATTTAATTTGTTTTAAGCATTTGCAAATTGCAAGGAAACACATAAACAAATCATATGGGAAATGAGTCGGAAAAAATCTCTACATATGGAGCAGGACGAGGACGAGGATCAATCATCCCTGTGGGGCGGGGACGGGGATTCCTCATCATCCCCGTCTCGGGGATCCCATTCCCAGACCTTGCCTCGCCCTACGCCCATCCCTAGCGGTGCCCAGTGAGCACCGATCTGGCCATGCATGACAATATTGTGCCATGCCTAGCACGATCTGGCTAGGCTAGGCTAGATCTAGTCTGACTAGACTTTGCCGACAACTTGGCTGTTGGCACCAAATTTGTTTTTTTTTTTTTTTACACAATTTTTAGTTTTCTATATTTTTTTTTATAGTTTTATTTTAACTTTTTCTTAAATTTGTCAACATAGTTAACATGGGCATAATGGACATTTCATTTTTCCCTACAAGTTTTCCTTTACATAACGGCGTCTAGTGGGGTATATGAGGATTGTGTAAACCGTAAGTAAGGGAGGCTTTTGATGAAATCTGAAACGTTTGTTTTCAATTTAAGGATGGTTTAAACCTCAAAGGAGTTTTTTCATAATAACCCTAGGGTAAATGATATGGAATAACATATAACAGAGATTTAAAAATTTGGATACTAATTATAATGCGTTAGATTACTTTATGTTATTAACTAATTTAGCAAATTAGAAATTCAAGTTAAACAAAACATTTATTGTTAATACATTAACGTTATTGGACCAGTAGCATAATATGACCTATATTTTATAATTAAGTGAGATAAGCGTATCATGTCATTTATACATTTATCTAATAAAATTATATAATATAATTCATGGTATGGTGTGGTCATTCTGTTTGAACAAGCTAAGTCTTTACCAATTTATCTTTTTCCTGCACTAATTCTGTTTAAACAAACTACAGGAACGCATACAATTTTTTCAATGAAGCCTCTAAAAGAATCTTCTCCCATTAATCCAACTAGTCGGCGTTGTAAGTCTACAAAAAAGAAGATAATATACCAAACCATTGAAAAAAGCTTAAACTATGTACTTGCCCACACAAGTCGTTTGAGTTTTTAATTTGAATCTTGGCGATGAAAATTAAGTTTAATCAGTGGCTGCTTGGTAGAAACATATTATGCCAGTGAGCAGTTGTTGAAATTCCTAATATTCTAGCAATAATGTAAAATAATAAACAAAAATCAAGTTGCTTCATTAATGTGTCTTAATGGTTAGAGAATTCTGCCTTTGATTGAGACAAATGGTGGGTGTTTGTCTATTCTCAAATTATTAAAATAAATCAAAATGAAGATGCCTTGAACGTTAGGTGCCTGTCTATTCTTGATCTCAATTTCAATTTCTTAGATATAACTGCCAAAATTTGCAACAGTTTTACATCGATCATTTAAAGATTCACTTGCATTTGCATATATTCCCAAGAATCAAATGATACAACAAAATTATATAAAAGAAATTATAAGCAGCTTGGCACTCTTCAGGCCTTGCCTTATGGCGTATACCTTTAGTTTACAGGATACCCTATTCAAATACTAAAAAAATAATCAATCAACTTAATTAATTTTCACAAACACTTATTCTTCTTGTAATTCTTATATACTGATTTAAAATATAGTGAACTCATAGTCTTACTTGTCCCTCCCTTTTTCCTTGTGGTGATTAGGAGAGTTTAAACTATGTACAAATTTCTTATACAAACCAGAATCTGAGTAAGTTATCATAGACATGGGCAGCTTGACCCGATGTCTCCAACTGACATGATTACGCTGTCCATTTTCTTCACTAGAATCCTTTTCTTTTATTCTTGTCACTTCTTTCCCTTTTGCAAAATTCTCCTTGCTATCATTTTCATTTGGCACAACATACACAAATGGTCCAACAAATGAATCCTGGAAGTCCTGAAGGGACTCCAACGCTTTGACCACTTCACTCATTGAAGGTCTAGGCTTTGGGTGGTGGCTCAAGCATTTGTAAGCCAGTGCCACTGCCTTTTGGGCTCCTGTAGAAGAAAATTGCCCTTCAAGTCTTGGGTCTATCAGCCTTTCAAGCTTCCTTGGGTCCTTCATTAGAGGCCTTGCCCATTCCACAAGGCTCTGTTCACGACCGGAGCGGGTGTTATCCATAGCCCGTTTACCCGTCAACAACTCTAATAAAACTACTCCAAAACTATAGACATCACTCATCGTCGTCAAGTGACCTGGAATTAGGATATTGAATTGGGTTCGGTTTCATTATATTCCAAACAAAAAGCAAGTGTTTGGCATATACCACGTTGGTACAATTCAAGTCACAGTCAAATTCAATGATTTTTTATCAGAAAAAAAAAAAATTGATCATAAGAGATTAACATTACCAGTCATGACATACTCAGGAGCAGCATAACCTTGTGTGCCCATTACACGTGTTATCACGTGTGTTTCTTCTCCTTCTGGGCCATCTTTTGCAAGCCCAAAATCTGAGAGTTTTGCGGTGTAATCCTGCAAAGAGACGAATAGAAAATTACCGAAATAAATTTTAAGTTTTTAAGGTAAAAATATTGACAACAAAGAGAGTTCCATTATTGATAAAAAGAGTACTGCTTACAGCATCCAACAAAATATTTGATGTTTTGAAGTCTCGGTATATCACTGGTTTATCTTCTTCGTGTAAAAAGGCTAGGCCCTTGGCGGCCCCTAGAGCGATTTTCATCCGGGTTGACCATGGCAAGGCTGCTGAATATCCTGCTTTATTAACAAAATGGCACAATATGTAAACAAAAACAATTGCCAATATATTGCAAATGCAATGATTGAAGACATAAAACACAAGGAAACAATCGACATACTTTTGAAGAGTTGGTTTTCCAAGCTGCCTCTAGCCATGTATTCATAAACCAGGAGTCTGTGTTCATCCTCCCAGCAGTATCCTATCAACTTAACAAGATGGGGATGCCTCAGTTGGCCAAGAAAGATTATTTCTGCCTACAAAAAACAGTAAAACAAAACCATTAGTACATGCACTTGAATCAAGTTCATTTGTTTACATATTCAAATTACGCATCACTACAAAATTTTTATCAGAAAAATTGAAGTTGAAATTACCATCCACTCTTTATGGCCTTGCAATCCATCCAAATCCAGAGCCTTAACAGCAACAGGCTGAGCCTTCAACCCCGGCTTCATCTTGTCATCAACAAATCCCTTGTACACAGGTCCGAACCCGCCTTCGCCGAGCATATTACTCCTGGAGAAATTCGCAGTCACTATTCTCAGCTCCGCAAGTGTGAAAACATGAAGCTTTGAGCCAATGACAGAATTTGATAGATCATCTGCAGATAGTGGTGAACTGGGATTGCTTAAATCCGAGAGAGATAGCCTCTGAAATGAAGCTAATTGTTTCACAACTTGTTTATCGATGATATCGGATTCCGGCAAAGAGGAGCTCTTACTCTTATTGGAACAAGTGAAGATGACTGATTTCCATGTAATCTTCTTCATGGTCATCTTGCATCAATCAATATACATGTATACTTGGCTTAAATCAACAAACTTGATGCACTAAAGGAGAAAACCAAACTAGAAAAATATGAAATGTTTGAAATTTCTTGGTGATTTGGAGTAGTTGTTTGAAGGATGAAACTTTTTTATAGTTGATACTAATTTACCTACTACAATACCACATTGCATATTTATACAAAAGTTCCAATGACTTTTGGTTCCTTGCCTGATGATTCATTCCTTCTCATTTATTATTTATGGTAGCATATTATTCATATGCAAAAATTATTCTTATATGATTTTTTTTTTTTTTTTTTTTTTTTTTTGAATTCGTCTAGAAGAATGACCAGGTGCGTCCTTATTGACTTTTGTACTATAAAAAAGCTGAAAAAGCATATTAATAATTGAATCTAAACGAACTAAATCAACTGATTTAATTAAATTTATGTTTATTCTAATTGCTATCTACAAATATAATTGTCTAATTCACCTCCAAAATAAAAAGTCGATCCATACTGATTCAATGAAATCAAGATCACACCGACTCAATTTTTAATTTATTATTAGAAGTCTCATTCGACATTTTCCGAGTTCTGTGTTCAAATAATATGTTTTCGGAATTTTTAGAATCCATACCTGATCATGTAAATGTATAATAGTTTTTAAATATAATAGATATATCTTTTTGTTTCCTGTTTTTAAAATATAGCACGAAGGTCAAAGATCTTATTGTACCCCATTAATGCACACTGAGTTTTTCGGGACATCTTGAAATGTTTTTGTTTGTTAATTAAGAAAAAGAATCCTTTCAAAAGTTTAAAAAAAAAAAAAAATCATATGTTTTTTGTTTCTCTATGCATAATTAAGCAAGCTTGGCGAGGAATTGAAATATGACAAATAGAAATTTTAAATAATAATATTTTGACATTTTTGCGATAACACTTTTAAAATTAATTTGGTGGTAAAATGTCAATATCAGATTTCACCAACTCGGAAGTACAAATTAATTTATCTACAAATCCTATGACTGTAGTATATTAATTTATGTTCATACAACTGCAAGGAAAGCTGTATTGGATAGCTTCTAGAATAACTCGACCCTGTCAAGCTTTCATGCATAATAGAAAAACAAATTTCTGGACGGCTAATCTTCTTTGGATTATATTATTAATTGTAAAAACAAATTTCTTTGGATCATCAATTACAATATTATATTTTACTCGGATAAAGATAAAAATCTGAACGTGATTCAAACTGCTGTATCTGTTGTGTGTGATGGATGTGGCAGAACTGTTTGAGATTAAAATAAAATGGCACAGTGATTAGTGAGAAGTACCCACTGGTTTGGCAGTAGAAGCAGCTAAAATTTTATGTTATTTTGATGGTGTGTAGAAGGGCATGGAGGTAGAGAGAAGTGGAGATGAGTGAAGTCAAATGTGTGTTGTTGAGAAAGGTCAAAGGAAAAGGGTGAACAAATCAATCTACTCACAACCACTTTCTTCTATCATGCAGAATTTACCAAACTTCACTACTATTTGAAATATCTGTAATATATATATAAATATATATATATAGTTTATGATGAACATGCTTTCCAAGATATCGTTATGACCATTAATCGCATAATTAGTGACAGATAACAACTCAGTTTGAAGCAGCCATTTAATTAAAGCTTTAGAAATTTAATTAACTATGAGCTTAAGCTTCTTCTTAGCAGCCTGATAAATCAACACTAAGATCCAATTGGTTGATGAATTTGAAAAAGACAGGTATCACCTCAAAAGAAAAATGAATATTATCATGGCAAGAATTGGACTAGGATTTTCTTTTTAATTTGTTCGTATCATACTTGTGATTATTTGTTTATAATTCTATAGTTGAACATTCGTTAACCATGATTGACTATATTGTAGTACCAATATTTGGCATTTGATTTATGATCTAAAAATAATTTTTCTAAAATTAATCTAAAAACCTCAATTATATCTACAATATTTATAATCTGTAAAGAAGTATTTAATATAAAACCTAACTAGTGTATCAAAAGTTAAAAACTATGGGAATATATATTCTTTTTTTGAATTTTATAGTATTTTAAAGATGGAATGATAACTATTTATAATAATATTAAACTAACTTTAAATGTTTATCTGAGATTCAGGAAATATCCAAATGAACTAGCACTGCATGTATTTTTCCTTGGTCAAAAATCTGGGGCACAAACTTCTCAGTTTTGAAATGAGGTGTAAATATTAGGTAAGTCGAACTAAAACTAAATTGTTTAAACACTTAAATTCTCTCCTTCCTTCCCATACACAAAACTTTCTTTCAATTTTATTTTTAATTTAAGTGGGTGCTTGCCACCTGTCAATGAATTAAGGCCTTCGTCTTCGACCATAAAATTGCATTTGCATGCATGCTCTGTGCCTCTCAGAAACTGTTTTTCAATGATTAACATTGAATACTAGCCGTTTGATTTGGCGGGTTTTTAATTTTCAATTTTGCCCTGGTCGGAAAACGTGCTGCAAATATATAAATGGTAGCTTTTTGGTTTGCGTTTGGGTACGATACGAACATTTGTAATCTTACACAAAAGTTGATTAGGAGATCTTCTAATAATTCATGCATATATTTAAAAAATTATATATTATATACTATTTTTATTTTTATAATATATTTAAAAAATTATACTATTTTCATTTTTACAATATATTCAAAAAAAAATTTGGCCATATTTTACTCTATTCTTGGGGGACCTAGGCAGGTGCCCCCACATGCCTACCCCTTGAGCCGGCCGTGTTTGTGTTGGCTTTTATTAGACATGACCTGGTTCAAAGTTTCCAGGCTGGATATAATAAATATATATACATATATTATTTGAAAATTCAAAGGATATTAGGTAATTAGGTTTGTTAATTTTGGATTCTTATTAATTCCGCCAGAAAAGGTTCAGTGAATTCATTAATTAATTAAACAAATATAGATGCTGTCTTTTGTTTCTTCCCTCTTCAATTATTTCTTTATTGATAAATTAGATTTTATTTCATGCTAACTATTTCGTGTGAAGAAATCACGTATTTTAATTGATGTAACGTTAAAGTCAATAATATATTAACGTGCATGAAAATAATACACTGTTAGAACCTAGAAGAAAACAAGAAGACTGTATATTGTCTAACTTGAAATGTCTTTTCAAAATTGATTGTCATTTAGATAAGGTCAGGTCAATGGCAGAGCCTGAAGGAGGCTGCCCAAGAATTGGATAGGACGCAGATACATATTTGTTTCTATAAATAATTCAAGAAAAATTCTTTCCTTACACATATAACAGGTGACAACATCTAAAAAATAAATAAAAAAATAAAAAAAAATCATAAAAATCAAAGATATTGATCATCTTTGTATACTCTCTTTATATGTGTCTTTATAAAACTAATATTCCTAAAATTAGCATTCCTCATAATTCATCAGTATATAATATAGAGGCGTATTATCAGTTTCCTCCCGTCAGGTATATTTTATTATTGACAACCCCCGCATGTCCTAGAACCCTCAAGAACCTCCCTTCCCCCGCATGTCCTAGAAACCCTCCCCTCAGGTATCAGATTCCCCCTGAGTAAATCTCTGTAGTAACGCGTTTTTTAATTGCGTATAGGGAGGCAACTTATGATTTGTTATGTTGAAAATGAGTTCCGTGGACAACTTTATTTCTTCCTAATAAAATCACTATAATTGAAATGTAACATCTGGAGGAGACTATAAGACGTCTATTTTGTGATGGACACTAGTATCATTTTCAGTAAAATTTTATCCACTTCATCTGCTCAGTTAAATGTAAGCTTTTGATTTTACCTAAGGTCATCCAAAATATATAATATTTAAAACTATCTATCGTCAAACATGTTGTTTTCAAAGTTCAAATAAATGAAATACCCAAAACCAACTGAAAACGACCTTTTTACAATAAAAGAAAATAATTAAAAATTATATCTTAACTTTGATTAACATATTTCTAACCAAACTGTATTTACAAAATTTCTCTTATCGCTTATTTTCAAAGATAAATTCTTTAAAAAAAAAAATTATATTTGTGTGCTTCCTTGTTGGAGTAGAGGGATGAGTATAAAACAAAATGATATTGCAGCGGGCACTTTTGTCCATTAGATAATTTAGAAGAGGGTTTATTTCATTTACACTTTTGTAAGATTGATTAGTATTAAACTCATCTGCTTCGTTTAAATAGTATTAAAAATACCTATATTATATGTGATACGTTATGGTTCTATACTTCACAAAATGTTATGAATTTGCTGCTTCTGAAAGATTTATATAATTCGGCTCCAATGGGAACCTATTTGTTAGGTGTATAAAGAGAATTTTTGGTTTGAAGGTAAATGTTTATATGAATTTGTGAAATTTTATCTTTATCTACGTACTTGAATTTGTTAAAAAATAAAATTTTATGAACTCTTGACAAATCTTTCATCACCAGACATCCTCACCAAACAAATGACTAAGAAAAATTGTTTTTTTGGTCATTTGATAGCCTTTCTCAAGTTATATCTTAGTTGCATAATTCCGATGTGATAATGCCTTTGTTCTACATCTCATCGCTTGACGACTTATATATAAGTTGATCCAATGTCGTGGTGTTTTGATGATTAGATGGCCGGTTTCATGGCATGAATGAAATTTCCTAATGTTATGAAATGCATTTTTGACACGAGGAAGTCAAGCTAAATATTTAGATTTGGGCAAGTAATACATCGTTAGATTTGTTGGGATGAAATGAAAATTCAAAGCTTAAACTTTGACTCACGTGAACCTAATAATTGATTCTATCATTCAAACATTCAAGGTATATATTTTTTCTGCTTGACGATCATTTTATAGTAAGATGTTATTATGCTATCTCCAGTCACATGGCAGGTGGGTTCCTAGGATAGGCTAGACTACTGACAAACTCGTATAGTTTTGTCTTAAAAAGGAGCATTTGGGTTTTATTTTAGAATATATAAAATTCTATTTTTTTTTTTTTTTTTCTATATCTTAAACCTTAAAATTTATTTTAGAATATATTTTTCTTCACATAGGAATGTAAACTTATTTTTGAAACTTCAAAGATGAAAATTTAGGTATATTGATGAAGATACCTTAAAATTTAATTTAGAAGTGAGGTTTGAAAGTCAATTAGAGGGGTACATAGTACT